CTTCCTAATATCTAATCTAACCCCCCCCACTTTCAATTCAACCCCGTTACTCCTTGTCCTGTCACTACAGGCTCTTGTAACATACACACCTGTGTGTAATTTGTTAATGTGAGTCATGCACACAGGCACTATCCCAACACGTTTAACTGGGGTTCTCAATGCATTGATAAAAGCCCAGTCTACAGGATATGTAATACTTTGAGATAAATTAGAGTGACACATGAGACACCATGTTAAATGCAGGGGCAAGAATCAACTATATTTATCTACTTAAAAAACCACAACTGAGCTACAGCATAAAAATGCTCTAGAGAGGTTTTATTGCTGCAAAGTGCCTTGCACCCATAATGAAAACAGTATTAACAGTGAAATACAATCCCTCTGCCTCTCCCAGCCAATCCCAGCCTGAAACGACGACCATCTATGCTCCTCACAAGATGCCACTCCAAGTGCCCTGTTGTTAAATCCAGTTTGAAAGCAGACCCTCCAAGTTTAACAACGCATTCATAAAATTGCATTTCATGATTTGCAAAAGCTTTTTGGAATGTGAGTTATGCAAAGGCCTACGACACGCAGCGCCTAGCCTGCATTCCTCAGCACTCCTCACTATCACACACCTTATTAAAAAAACTATTCCCAAATCTGTTCTTAACTGACCCACTCTCAAATACTCATTTACACAGCAAAACACTTAATAGCAGAAAATGGGAAGACTCCATTGCTCTTAATGCAAGCACCATCTTGTTCCCCTCGAACTCCCACTGAAACCAAAAGCACTTGCAAAGTGAAGCATTGCTCAGTTGGAACATGGATGGCAGAACTCAACCACAGTAAAGACAGCAAAACCATTCGGAACGTACCCAAACACGTAGTTCTTTCACTCATTTTCCAATGGCACAGTCACCATATCCTGTGTGAGAAAAGGCTGTCCCCCCAGGTCCCCGCCAGTCAGATGCATGCATTTCAGCGGGAGTAAACAATTCGACGTCGATTGGAAATCAGATCCCCTCACTGTTCTTTCCCTCTTCTTCATAAAACATCCATTCCTCTTCATTTAACCGCGTGCTACAAAGCAAACATCCCCCCACCAATACACACGTACCTCCCAGGTACATCACTCCAAGATTTTGAAAGCTAAGCATTAAAAAAAAAAAAAAAAAAAAAAGAGATTGCTAGCCTCTGATTAAGGCCTCTTGGAGAAAGGGGTTGTTCAGCAGAACCCCTTTCCCCTCCCCACAAAGCTACTATCTCTTTTGCACAGAGCTGCGTGCGGTACTTCACAGTCAGGCAGGAAACGCTGGTGCTTTGAATGTGCATCTTACGTGTTTCCATCACAGGAAAGCCTTAACAGTAAAGCTCTGCGCCAGGTCCAAGGATTTGTAAATGCATTTAAATTTTACTTGAAGACAGTTTTCTTGAGTTATTGGAGAGACCTAGGTTCAGACATACAAAGCCTAAACACTTTAAAAAAAGGAAAGAAAGAAAAACAGACTCATGCATGTCTAATCTCGAAATTTTTTAAAGGATCGTATTTTCAAGCTTTCCTTCTTAAACAAAAAGACTACAAGCTCAGTCTTTCAATGAAAGCTAGGATTCTGGTGTATTCACTCGACTCCAGAGACTTACAGTACCCCAGGGAAACTCCAAGTGTAGTTAGATTTGGCAGTTTGCAGGTCTGATGTCACTGTCCTTGGAGCCTGCATAATCCCTGCCCAGAGGATGACGAGTTTAACTGCTAACCAGTCTCCTCTGATCCACTGCTCCATTCTGGTAGCTTCTTGGCTGCTGCCAGTTTCATATTCCTATTATCATCAGAACTTTTCCATCCTCTCAGAATAATTCTCATAGCTTCATTTATAAACAACTCGGAATAATCTCCCTAGCTTTGTTCACAAGTGACACAATAAATCCGCACACATGCACCCACAGCTCTCGGTGCAAAAGCATTTCACACCCAAAAGCCCAGAGATGTGCTGATGCCAGTCCAGCCAGGTATCACAAACTCCAGACATCCTCAGCAAGGACAGGGATAGAGGCACTGCCAGCTTCTGTCGAGCCAGGGACTAGGTGATACCCAGCTCTGGTCACTCTTAAAAACAGGGAGACCAACCTATATCCCTTAACCAAAGACAGGTCACAGTAACAAAGCTCAGCACTTGAGAATCCAAAGGGATCACTAGATAACACGGGCTGAATACCTGCATATAACGATCCAAAATATTTCATGCAATTCACCAGAGATTGGGCCAAGACGGACCTCAGAAAGACATCCATGCTTGCTTTGCAAGTGTCAAAGAAATAAGAAGCCAAAATTTCCCTTTAGAGATTTGTTCCCCATCTCCTAGGAGCAAATGGTAACTCTGCTCAGATACACCCCACGGACTTTGCTTGTAAACCCCCAGCCGCAGCAGCCCTGCCTGCGCAGAGGGACTGTGGATTCCTCCGGATGGGAGGGTTTCATGGACACGACAGACCAACATTTGCCAAAGATGGTCTCAGAGGAGGAGAGGAGACCGGGTCATCTCCTGAAGTCCCTTCCAGACCTACGTTCTTTGACTTCCCTCACACAGCAAGCAGAAACACAAACAGTCAAGTCAGGCTGCAGTTGTGCAAGCAGGTAGTTTTTGTTCTCTGAAGTTACATCACGGTTAGGTGACTCAACTTTCCTCCCCACTGGGCTCTCTGGAGCAGGCAGCCCTTTGGACCAGATTTTTCCACTTGAAGCTGATCAACTCCACAATGCCTAAGCTACAAATAATTAAAATGTTTTTAAAGACACTATGAACATTCTACTTGGATTAATCACAAGAAAAAAAAAAAAGAATTAAAAATAGGTCATCTTATGTAACAGACCGCAAGTGAAAATAGAGAATACAGCTGGCAGCTTCAAGTGGGTCCCCGCAGGCCTTCTTTCTCGACCGTGAAGCCATTGTACATCAGGCAGCCTCTGTTCAGAGCGTGCCTACATCTGGAATAAACTAGCGTGCAACAGATCAGAAAGGAAGCACGCTGCCAGCGCGACGTGGGGAAGCTCGCCTTCTGCCTGCTCCAAGTGCATACCATCAAACGCTCGATTTCCTAAGCACATCATTAATAAAACAAAAAGCAACGCTTTTCTTCCGAGTGCTGAGGAAAATAAATAAATAAATACGCACATACATACATCGGGGGCCGTTCTTCCTCCCTTTTCTTTCACCAGCTAATTGCAGGGGAGTTTAAAGGGTTTTGACTGATTTTGACTGTGCCATGTTCAAGAAGCTGCAAATCTATATATACAAAGGAAAAATTGCTTTGAAATCTTTTATTAAAGAAAAGCTTGGCAGGAGCAAGGTGTAAACAAATGGAAAACAGAAATGCAGTAAGTAGTTAAAA